CCTGCCTATGCAGGGGGTCAGACTCGATGATCTATTGAGGTCCCTTCCGACCCTAACATCTATGAATCTATGAATCTATGTACCTATACTCATATCTATTAATGTATATTTGGAGTACACTTGCACACACACTCACACTCCCATCATATGCTGTGGTGAGAATGATATAGTAAATTGCTGAAGTTCATGATAACATGGAGCCAGGCAAGGCATGACATTTATCATATATTTTCGACTGCTTCACCTTCACTTTGCCCACGTGGCTTGTAACTAAAACATTAGTTATCCATGATATGTCTAAATGCAGGGTTAAAGCTTTTGTCACTTCAGACATCCTTCATTTTAGAAAAGTGAAATGACAAAGTAAATATTTCTTTCTTTTCTTCTTGAATACAGAATTTTTTGTTAAATTACAGAGACATGAGCCCTAGGATGGATAGAAATTAATCCTGGACCCATGGCAGGTTTAAAATGGGATATATTACTGGTATTGTTTTCGTTTTCTGATATATTTCTAATCTACTAGTCCTGTGCTATTATAACTTCTGAAAATAAAATAACCCAATAGAACCTTTATTTGGCCCGTATTAGACTATTTTTTCCATAGATAATTTAATGACAACAGGGAAGAATTTGGCTTAGCATTTCAAGGCAGTTCTTTCAGATTTATCAAAAGCAAAGTAGTCTGACAGTTACCAGACTGAACAGGGACAAGTGTATAATTATTATTTAGTGGCCTGTGTTGATATATAGACATCAGAAGCATGATCCTACTCTCACCTTGGCTTTATTAGGTTGGACAGCAATTCATGAAGCTTCCAAGAGAGGATTTACTGAGGTGATTTTAGAGTTACTAAAAGCTGGTGCTGATGTTAATAGCAAAGGCCCAGATGGAATTTTGCCAATACATGATGCTGTTTCTGGCAACTATTACAAGGTACAGTTCCCTTAAGTTAGCTTTTCTGATTCTGGTTTTCGGTTACGAGAATGAAAATACTATGATTGTGAATGCAAACCATAGTAATGGTTTAAGTAATACCATCCAAAATTATTAATAGCGTTTTTAAAGACATACATAGACTTACATTTAAGAAAACAAACTAACCTGTTGGAACTGGAGTTCAGTATTTTTATGCAAAAACACTGAGAATTAAAGGCGTATAAATAATTCATTTTTCAGTTCAGTCTCCCCTCTTCCACTTCCTCAAATTGTTGGGGTTTTCTCGCTGAAACTCCCTGCAATGAGTTTGGGTTGAATGAAACATTTAGTTTCCAGATGTTGTTATTAAAATTAGCTGAGTTCACTGTTAGCTTAATGTCATTTGAAAATGAAAAATCAAAACATTTTGTTTTGAAAATGCTGAAACAAAATGATTTGACATTTCCATTTTTTTTCTTTTCTTTTCCCAGGCAATACTAGTTGCCAAGTTTGACCCCAATTCACAGCTGATTTTTATCACCCCAAAACTGTACAGTATTTCTCAGCAAATATTTATCTGAAAAAGTGTGCCCAACAGTAATGGCAATAATGTCATCTAAATCAGAGCAGAGAGCTGCATTCCTTCTATTGTTTTATGCACTATTGAAAGTAATTTTAAGAATCAAGTTCTTGTCTAGACTTGGCATGCATATGTCCCATTGAAATAAGTGGGAATTGAAAGCATGCATTTGAGAACAAAATTTTGTCCTGAGAAGGCTCAGAACCTTGTAGATCTGAAAGTCGGGTCAATAAATGAAGAAATAATTGGTCTGACTTTTTCCCCCTTACACCAGAGTACATTCCACTGAGGTGAATGGGTTTATACAGGTCTAAAAAAGATGTAAATCAATATAGAATCAGTCCCAATGTTTTTAAAATACTTTTATTTATCATTTTGAAGCTTATTACGTTCCTTCCTCAATGATTATTGATCATAAGGTCAGCTTTATACATTCATGTTAAAAATATGTTAATTCATCCTGAAAGAAATTTTTTAATTAAACTATGTACAAGATTGTGCCATCACCTCAGTAATAAGACAAAGGGAAAGCATTTTAGAAATTCTTAAGTTGGGTAGAATGGAGATGCATCAAGCAGCAGACACCTGGCAGTTGGCTGCCGCTGGTTATTTAAAAAGGCCAGTAATCAGAAAATAATTCTGGGCAAGATTCTTATGAAAAGGTAACACTACAGAGGGATGTTTTACTTGTGGTCAGGTAAGTGTGTCTTACTTCTGCAGTTTGGTGGCTTTTTGGGGGTTTTTTGC